GGCCCCGACGCTCCCCACCGCCAGCACCTTCAGCCTCCTCGACTGCTTCCCGTGTCCCCCGGCGCTGGTCGTGGGCGAGGACGGAGACCTGAGGCCGGCGTCCTCGCTTCGCCTCCAGGGAGACGCCAAGCCCCCGCCTGCCCACCCGCTGTGGAGGTGGCAGGTGGGGGGTCCCGCTGTCCCTGAGCCCCCCGGCGTCAAATTCTGGGGGATCAACCTGGAGGAGCTCTGAACGTGAGACCTCTTCTACCAAGAGGGAAAAGTTGGGGTCACAGCCAAACTGCCGGCTGCCTTCTCACACTTGCCTGGCCCCTTTATGGTTTATGGACTGTGGTCAGAGGGACCTCAAATGACAGTGATCTTCAAGCACCTAACTGGTTGGGGTGACACCCTCCCCCCCCATCCTCTGGAGATGAACGAAGGGCTGGAGTCAGGAGAAGGCTTAACGGAAAAGATTTAATGACATAGATCCCAGCCCCTCCCCTCTGCCATCTCGGATCTCTGGGGGCAGTGCCTTCACCCCAGGGGGAGCTAAGGAGGCTGCAGCCCGAAGACAAGGCAAAAAAAAGATGGAGAGAGACCATGGTGATGGACAAACCGGTTGTTTCTGTGGGCGAGCTCGGGGTTGAGGGGGCTGTGGTGGGGGTGGGGAGGTGATTGGCAGCTCCCTGGGGGCATCCCCCACCCCCACCATCTAGGCCTTTAACCCTTCACTCCCCTAAGGCCTTCCCCAGCACTCATAGCACCAAGGTGCCTTCATGGGGGAAGGGCAGCTTGAGCAAGGGGACTATCACCCCCTTCCTAGGGGCCCCCAAGTCAGGAGACCCCCGATTGTCGAGATGTCAGTCTCAGCCACCAGCTTTTCCCTTTTGTCCAGTTTTGGAGTTTCCTTCTTCAGTTTTCCTGTTTGCTTTCAGTTTATGAGGTCTGATGGGTGAAAGAGGATGCCCCTTGATAAACCAACCCCCTCCTCCAGTTTACTCCTCATATTAGGAGGGGCAGGGCTGCTGTAGACACAGGACAAGCTGCTTTTTGTGGAGGGGTAAATGGAAGGGATCTTGGCCAAACCACAAGGTCCAGTGGGGTTTGAAGGGGCAAGGATTGGGTTTGGGTGGGAACTGGGCTGAGGTACCCTCAGCTTCCTCCCCTTTACTTCTGGCATTTTGGGAGTTGTCAGGGACCTGATGGATCCGAAGGGGGCAGGGCCAGGGGATTAGTTTTGAGGTCAGAGGTTCTGTTTTCTGGGGGGGAGGGGAGAGCTAGGCCTGGACCACGCCCTCAGGCTGGGAGGATCCCCCTAGAGTCAGGGAGGGATGGAGTGGATATCTCCTCCACCCAGGTGAGGTCAGGGGAGGTTAGCTGTTAGGGAGATTCCAAGTTTAGGTGTGAGGGGAACCTGGGGATTGAGGATCTGCCCAACAACATACGGACCCAGTGACCCTTCTGTCCACACCAGAATAAAACCCCCTTTCCCCCCAAACGGGGTGAGGGAGGAACAATTCCCGCATACGATATTGGGGAAGGACTTGTCTCCTTTTCTGTGAAAATGCTTTGTAAAAAGTTATTGTTTGCATAGAGCAGATTCTTGATAAATACTGTTTTGGACCATAAAAATTTTGTTCGTTTTAAAAACTGTGTCTTTTCATTATTTCTTGCTGGGGG